GGGCGGGACATTGAGCAAGACTACAGATTGACTACAGACAGAGAGAGGCAGCTACATCAGAGCCAGAATATGATCCAAATGGTGGGTTTTGTGATCCGTTGCACCCCTAATTCTCTTGATAAATATAACTTAAAACTACATTAAGTGATCTGAATGCTGAAATGCATTAATTTCAGTAAAGAAGCACCAATCAACCATCGCCAGGAATCATTATACTTTTTCAAACTCCCAAATATTCATAAAAGTGTAATATCAGTCAGGTTATACATTTAGCACAATAAATCAGGCATATTGTGGCAATAAAAGATCTAAATTCCTAAAAACTGTACAAACAATGCAGGCTTATAAAGTATCCTTACATAAATCCAACCAATAAAGCCAAATAATGAAGTGTTTTACCTCTTCCACGGTCAGACTGGGCTTGTAGCAACGGTTGTGTCCAAAGACATTGCAGGCTGGATCAGGGTTAGCGGTTCCCACCCTCAGAGCAGGTCTGGAGGGCAGCAGCTGGAGGGAGCCTCTCCTCTCCCTGTCCTTCCCCCTGTCAGGGAGCCCTGCAGACAGTGCTGCCCCGCTGGATTCAGAAAGGTCATGTATATTAGCAAGCATTGTCAAAAGGTGATACTGATGGTTATGCAGCCCTATATGTATATTTACAGCAAATAGTAGGCTGAGTGGAGGGAACTGGACCATGACAGTGGACCACTTGCCTGTATTTCCTCATTAAAGGAGGTGAGGAGCTCTGAAAAGGATTCTTCCCGCCCCTCTCATTCAATCCGCCCACTGGTTTATCTGTGAAGAAAGACCAAAACAGACCAAATGATGGGGATAAAGATGACAGGACCACATAAATACAGATCATTACTTTCCTGCAGTAATAGCTCTCCCCACTTACTCATTCTCCACTCAGTACTGTTCAGCCATGAGGTGTGGAGCTCATCTATCCCCATCAGAGTAACATGCTGGATCAACAGAAGAAATGCAAGGTAATTAAAGACAGAATACAAACCACAAATGTAACACCAGAGCACCAAACTAAAGCTGTGCTTTATTCCTGATCTACTTGTCCAAGGTCTATACTCTACAGGATTACAGTAGTTTTAAGTGTCCAATGTTGTGTAACTTGACTTTGCTCGCAGTATCTCTTACGCAGCATTTTGTCTTGATTCACTTGATATGCATTACAGCTTTCATAATGGTTCTAAAATTAAAACTTCATTAACCACTTGTGATCAGATTTTTCTACTCTGTTCACATTTGATGTTACATTTAGGAATCTGCAGTAAAGCAGAAAAGAACAGAATAAAATAAAAAATAAAAGAGAAGAGAAGAGGTTATGACCGTTTCATGTCTTGCTTTAAGTATAGCCTTCAAAACCTTGTCTGGGTTGTTTGGTGTAGGCAAAACAACTGCATTCATGTGTGTTTTTGTAGATTTGATTAGATTCAAACTACAAAAGGTGACCAGGCTGTAGTTAGGTTCGTACTACACTACATACAAAGTATAATAACATTCAGTGTGTCCTCAGTGCACACACTTCTCTGCCCTTCTAATTCAGCAGTTACCCACCCAAAACCCTACGCAGAGTCGCAGTCTAACACACTTCTCTGCTCCTCCACTTCAGGAGTTACTTAGTGAAAATCCTATAGTGACGGTGTCTGCCTCCCGACAATCGAAATTATTTAAAAAAGGTAAACAGAAGAGTGTGCATAAAAACCTCATAAAAATTAAAACCACAAGAGCAATAGTGCAAAGAATAGGAGAGTTAAATGTGGACTCTTAAACATCAGATCTCTCTCTTCCAAAGGTGTACTAGAAAATGAACTAATATCAGATTATGATATTGATTTATTTTGTCTTACTGAAACCTGGCTGGGTGATGGAGAATATTTTAGCCTAAATGAATCCACTCCTCCCAGTTATATTAACACTCACATTCCTCAAGGCACAGGCCGAGGAGGTGGAGTTGCAGCTATCTTCGACTCTACCCTACTAATCAGCTCTAAACCTAAACTAAATTATAACTCATTTGAAAGCCTTGTTCTTGGTCTTTCGCACCCAAGTTGGAAATCACTGCAACCAATTCTCTTCGTTATAGTGTACCGAGCACCTGGCCCGTACTCTGAATTCTTATCTGAATTTGCAGAGTTTTTGTCAACTTTAGTCCTTATAATGGACAACGTTATTATTGTAGGGGATTTTAATATTCATGTGGACGTTGAGAATGACAGCTTCAGTACTGCGTTTATCTCTCTGTTAGATTCCATTGGCTTCTCTCAGAGTGTTCATGAACCGACTCACTGTTTTAACCACACCTTGTTTTGGTATACGGTATTGAAATTGAACATTTAGTGGTGTTCCTACAGAATCCCTCTTTGTCCGACCACTGTTTGATAACTTTTGAGTTTGTATTGCTGAACTACACGCCATTGGGCAAAAATTTCTATACAAGATGTCTGTCTGATAGTGCTGTAGCTAAATTTAAGGGTGCGATTCCATCAGCTCTAAATTCATTATCAAGTCACAAAGTAACGGAGGACTCCTATGCTAATTTCAGTCCCTCCCAAATCGATCATCTTGTTGATAGTGCTGCAGGCTCGCTGCGAATGACACTCGACTCTGTAGCCCCTCTAAAAAAGAAAATACTAAAACAAAGACGGTTAGCTCCATGGTATAATACTGAAACTCGCAAATTAAAGCAAATATCGCGGAAACTTGAGAGGAATTGGCGTTCCACCAAACTGGAAAATTCTCATTTAATTTGGCAAGATAGTCTTAAAACTTATAGGAAGGCCCTCCGTAATGCCAGAGCAGCGTACTACTCATCATTAATAGAGGAAAATAAGAACAACCCCAGGTTTCTTTTCAGCACTGTAGCCAGGCTGACAGAGAGTCACAGCTCTATTGAGCCAAGTATTCCCATAGCTCTCAGTAGTTACGACTTCATGAGCTTCTTTAATGATAAAATTCTAGCTATTAGAGACAAAATTCACCAAGACCTGCCTTTAACTGGCACCGACTTATCTCTTAAGTCAGGAACCTTAGAAACAGCTGTAGAACCATATATATGTTTAGACTGTCTTGCTTCCCTCAATCTTTACCGACTAACTTCAATAATTTCTTCATCTAAACCATCAACCTGCCTCTTAGACCCCATCCGACTAGGTTGCTTAAAGATGTTTTACCCTTAGTCAGCACTTCTATACTAGATATGATCAATCTATCTTTATCAACAGGCTATGTACCACAGTACTTTAAAGTAGCTGTAATTAAACCTCTTCTGAAAAAGCCCAAACTTGATCCGGATGTTTTAGCCAACTACAGACCTATATCTAAACTTCCATTTCTCTCTAAGATCCTGGAGAAAGCAGTTGCTAAACAGCTGTGTGACTTTCTACAGAGCAATAGTTTATTTGAGGATTTTCAGTCAGGATTTAGAGTTCATCATAGCACAGAGACAGCACTGGTGAAAATTACTAACGACCTCCTTATTGCATCAGACAAAGGACTTGTCTCTGTACTGGTTTTATTAGATCTTAGTGCTGCATTTGATACCATTGACCATCAGATCCTATTGCAGAGACTGGAATATTTCATTGGCATTAAAGGAACCGCTCTAACCTGGTTTAAGTCCTATTTATGAGATCGATTTCAGTTCGTACATGTTAACGATGAGTCCTCCATGCATGCCAAAGTTAGTCATGGAGTTCCTCAAGGATCTGTCCTCGGACCAATCCTTTTCACTTTATATATGCTTCCTTTAGGCAATATTATCAGGAAACATTCCATAAGCTTTCATTGTTATGCAGATGATACTCAGTTATATCTATCGATCAAACCAGATGAAACTCATCAGTTAGCTAAACTTCAAATGTGCCTTCAGGATGTTAAAACCTGGATGACCTGTAATTTTCTAATGTTAAACTCAGATAAAACTGAAGTTATTGTTCTGGGGCCTAAGCACCTCCGTGACGCATTATCTAAAGATATAGTTTCCCTTGATGGCATCGCCCTGGCCTCCAGCACCACTGTGAGGAATCTTGGAGTTATCTTTGATCAGGACATGTCGTTTAAGTCTCACATTAAGCAAATTTCAAGGACCGCCTTTTTTCACCTACGTAATATTGCGAAAATCAGGAACATCCTGTCTAAAAGTGATGCAGAAAAACTAGTCCATGCATTTGTTAGTTCTAGGCTGGATTACCGCAATTCCTTATTATCAGGCTGCTCGAAAAAGTCCGTTAAGACTCTTCAGCTGATCCAGAATGCTGCAGCACGTGTTCTGACAGGAACCAGGAAAAGAGATCACATTTCTCCTGTCTTAGCTTCTTTGCATTGGCTTCCAGTAAAATCCAGAATAGAATTTAAAATCATTCTTCTTACCTACAAAGCTCTTAATGGTCAGGCACCATCTTATCTTAAAGAGCTCATAGTACCTTACTACCCCACCAGAGCACTGCACTCCCAGAATGCAGGGTTACTTGTGGTTCCTAGAGTCTCCAAAAGTAGACTAGGAGCCAGAGCGTTCAGCTATCAAGCTCCTCTCCTGTGGAACCAGGTTCCAGTTTGAGTTCAGGAGGCAGACACCATCTCCACATTTAAGAGTAGGCTTAAGACTTTCCTCTTTGCTAAAGCTTATAGTTAGGGCTGGCTCAGGTTAGTCCTGAACCATCCCTTAGTTATGCTGCTATAGGCCTAGACTGCCGGGGGATTTCCTATGATGCACTGAGCTCCTCTCTCCTCTACTTTCTCTCCCTCTGTATGCAACCTCATCCCATTATTGCATGTTACTAACACAACTTCTCCCCTTTCTGGTAGTCTTGTGCTTTCTCGTCCCTCTCCTCCTATCACTTCCTGCAGGTTTTCTGGCTCTGGAGCTGTGGAGTCTGGATCTGTGGCTGCGGGTCACCTGCTGCCCCCGTGTTCCTGCTCGACAACCTCTGCTGCAACGTCTATTGTTACTAGTCCTATTGTTATTATAATCATTAACATTACGACTGTTACCATTAACATTACTATAAATATCTGTACCATTTTTCATTTAATCTATAGCAACATCACCTTTACTGTCTGTACCTCTGTGTGTGTATATTGTGTAGGCTGCCTCCCTCCCCTCTCTCTCTCCTTCCATCCCTCTCTTTTTCTCTCTGTTCCTCTCCTGCCCCCCCCCCCCCCTCTCCCTCTCTCTCCTTCTCTCTCCTTCACCCCAACCGGTCGAGGCAGATGGTCGCCCACCCTGAGCCATGGTTCTGCTCGAGGTTTCTGCCTCTTAGATGGAAGTTTTTCCTTGCCTCTGTCGCCTAGTGCTTGCTCTTGGTGGGATGTTGTTGTGATTTGGCGCTATATAAATAAAATTTAATTTTGGAAGTAACATAACACATAATTTGAATTGTTCCCTTGTGGTCAGATCACACATGAAGCATTTAAGTACCCAGTCTTAACAGAACCATTGATATGTTCAAGACACATGTGCATTTGTGGATCAAACTATATCCCCTGTAACAAACTTTACATGCACATGACTGATGGTGGGAGTTGGAGCACACACACCTGTGTCTCTTCATAATGTCCAGGCTTCTCACACTTGGTCGTCAGCGGGTTCCGCAGCCTGAGCAGACCTGCTACCCCGGCCACAGTCTTCTTAACAAAGCTAATGACTACATCTGACACACAGGACACCACAAATCAACAACCATCTTCATATCTGTGAGACTGTTGCAATTGATAAAGATGTTTTTATTTATTAAACAAACCTCGTCTGCGTCTTTTCACCTCTACCTGGTCACTCTGGCAAACACTGTCTGCAACATCAACACTGTAACAGGATAAACAAGATTCTAGATGGGTGATACTAACAATAACAATAACATGATGACACATTTGGGTTAGTTTAAGTTTGTGCCTCTTCAGTCTAATACAGCAGTTCTGCAATACAAAAAGGCAGCAACTCCTCACTTTAGCTGTAAACAGAGAATATGACGTTTTTGCTTTAAAAATGTACTAAGCTTATTAAATGTAATAAAGCAGTTATCAAAATGGTTGCCAATTTTCTGTCAGTCAAGTAATCAATGAATTGACTAACCGTTTCAGCCCTATATAATGTAATACAATAATATTGTTATGCCTCACTGGTAAATAAGGGGGTGACATCATAAAGTATCTACAATACATTTAAACTGTAACGTTATCGCGGTGACGGTAAAGCTGAATCAAGATCTCTCTATAACAATTTAAACAAAAACCTTAACGTACATAAACGTTATGCCCTTCATGAAGGTAGGATTTATTAAGGAGCTGGTAACGATTGACTGCATTAGTGTTAGCTAACGTTAGGCGTTAACTTACAGTGCATAGCATTTGTGCTAGCCCAAATAGAAATCACATTTGAGTGGCTGTCAAAAAAATATAAGCAAACTAACGTGCTTAAACTAATGCTTTTTATATGGACGTTTTATTTTCGGGAAATGAACTGAGAAATAACGTTACAGCCTGTACGACAGAAAAGAGGTGTTTAACGTTAAGCTAGCACTAGCAGTGCCAATATTACAATAACGTAACTTACCTATAATGCCAGACGATATCTAAGCTAATATTAAATCACGAGTTTATGCTACAGATTGTCCACGCAGGTCAGTTAACGCTCACTAGCGTTAACTTATTGGTTAACGTTAGCTATGATATGCTGGTTAATGTACGATGACTTTTAACGTTATCCTTCTTGATAAAGTTGTCTTGTGGATGCTTTTGATAACGCTAACCAAACTATTAAATAACCAGGGGATATAACCGTGTACCGAAAACTGAACAGTTATTAGTTAACACCTAACGTTATATAAGTTCCAAAAATAGTCTTTATCTTCAACAACCGACCTCTGGTAGTTCCGTTTAGCCGGTCTGCCGTGATTCTCCTGCCGCTGTGCTCCCGCTTTCACGACAGGTCGCGTGGGTACCTCCTCGCCAACGTTGCCTTTCCCGGGCCACTCGGTGGGGTTTTGCCCCGCAACGGGCTCAAACAGCGACGATATTCCGTCAACTATCCATCCATACATCCCAGACAAATACGAGAAAATTGTAACGGTGTCTTCTACGCGGGCCAGGACTGTCTCACTACAGATAAGATGTCAAACAACGATCTACGACACACAGCCTGCCATTAACTTAGCTTAGCCTTAGTGTTAGCAGCACTGTGCTGAGCTGCGAAGGATGTGCGTCATGCAGTGTTGATGTTTCACGTAGTGCGAATGTTTTACACATACACGAAGAACGCGTGGGCGGGGAAAAACAGAAATGGTAGACCGACCACAAGCTGCTTCTGCCGACTTTATAAACGAACGAACACCCAGACCGAGAAGGTAAAGGGCGCAAGTAGCAGACAAGACTATCATTGGCTGCTGCTGAGCTGCTCAGATGTCAATTCTTTTATTACATAACAACGGTTAACGTCCCCTTTATCGCATTTTATTTCTATAATGCTAACGAAATGGGATTCCGTTAAATTATTTAGAGATTTTTGATTAATTACACTGTTTGTTTTAAGCAGATCTACTTTAGTCATTTAAATTTCATCTGACAGTAAAGACCTGTCCCCATTATGTGTTTTGTTGTCTTGACAGTCACTAAGATATAGTAATTGGGACGTTAATATGTAATAAAGAATTGACATCAAGCAGCTCAACAGCAGCAAATTATAATGACTAAAATAGATTTGCTGCTTAAAACAAACTAATTCAGAGGTTTTCAAAGAGTGGGATGGGCCTCCCCAGTGGTGCTCCAAACAGTTTAAGTAAATGGAAGTGAAACAATATTACATTAGCTATAATAACAGTTTTTAAAAGAACAACACGTGGAATAGCCTACATGTGTGACCTGGTTAATGAGAGTTTACAGAAACAATAGTTTTGGTGAACTTTATCTTTGTCCGAATCTAATAAATGGCTTGTAATGTATTTTGTGTTGTCTGAAGTTATGTCAAACAGCAACATTAGGCTATTTTGCCTCAACTGTTGAGTGTCTGTGAGATCAGCTAACATAATCATGATCCCACAGGGATCCAGGAATTGAGCGAAACTAAACAAGTACAGGGGAATGGGGGACACCTTTTTCCAAGCTTTGTCTGAGGGGAGGCCCACAGTCTCAGACTCTGAAAAGCCCTGGTGTAATTAAAAAATAATTAAACTTAAATCAAAGTTATGCATTTTAGAAATACAATGCTCATGGTAAGATAAACAAATGTAATAAAGTCAGAAATGAGACAATATAATGAGATTATACAAAGTCAAAATGTTCACCCACTTCACCACTTTATAAAATTACTTATTTTAGAAATGTAAATGAGTACAAATAATAGTAAGTCAAACATTTAACACAGAAATTTGACTTAGTAAATTCAATCTAACTGATTTTGACTTATCACAAGTATTGTTACTTGCATGCCTCATCTAAAAATTAAATGTCATCTATGCAAGACACAATGTCCCTAATCCCACTAATGTTGTTAGAGTGAGCGAGCGTGTGTATGTGAGATAGATAGATTATTTATATATATATTTTACACACACACACACACCTCAACAGTATATTTTTAAGTCTGTTCTCAATTATCCTCTAACTGCCTGTGAGGCTTTAAAGCAGCCTGTACATGGTTTGGTTTGTTCCAGAGCACCCTGTTCTTGTACTGTAATAAGCTACTGTATTAAAATTATAATGTATACTCAATTCAAGTCCATCTATCCTGTATTAAATGTTAAATAAACTGCACATGGCAAACCTACATCCAATATGGATTGTTTCTTAAAGAAAAATACCCTGTGAGAATTGCCACAAAATAAACTCAGTCTGTTAAAATATTTATCAATTTTATGGTAGAAACATAGATAATACAAAAGACACTTATGGTTCACCTTTATGCAATAATGTGCTCAATAGCTATGTTGATCATGGATTTCCAGTATAAAACCAGTGCAAATTTGGACACATGTACAACAGTCCTATTTACATACAGTAGCGCAAAAGGGTAAAAAATATTAGTAGAAACACAACAACACTACTTTCTCTTGCAGCATCTCAAGAGTGACCTTCAAAATACAGAGAAAAGCAATATTACAATAGAAAATACTGAAAAATAATTTATGTGCTCATAAAAATCACGTAATTAAATAATTCAACACACGTGATATTCCTTTCTACATATTTCTACACAGGCGTATAAGGCATGGACAGTTTTGGAACGATATGCAGACATTCATTCTTTCAGTGGTCGAACAACTTCGGGTCGGGCTGGGGAACGGATGAGCCTATTGGGCACACAAACAAAACCAAAGCATCAGACAGTGTAGATAGCATCATTTTTTTGTGCAAAGCTTAGAAACATAAAATCCATAACGAAGCTATTAAAGTCATGTCAGTTAATTTGGGTAACAGTATATTTTAGGGAGGCACCCAATTTTCGGCAACCAAAATAGCAAAAAAGCACTTTCGGTGTTCGGCCTAAAAAGTCAAAAGACAGAAGAAATTTGACCAAACAATTACGTTAACATGTCAGCAGTGTGGAAGCATTTTAAAGTGTTGGAGAAAGACGAAAAATTTTGCAGACACTGTTCTGCTGAATTGTTGTCTCCTAGTACATCCACTCCATCTGTGGCTACTGACTTCATAAAAAGGCCACAAACGGTCTGACCTGCTTTGAGTGTTTGTCACTTTATGAGAAGGCGATTAAGCTAGCCGCACCTAAATTTGGAGTGCACACGTATTCAAGCCTTTATGGTAAAGCTACTGAAATGGACCAGAGCGAGCTGACGTGCATGTTAGCGACTTCATCCTGTCAGTTTCTCTCTTTACAGAGACCAGTGTTGCAGTATGAGAGGCTATTAGTTCCTCATGTTGCACAATATGAGAACCACATACATTAAAAAATTGGGTCGGGATTGATGAATTTAGGGCGAGGATACACATGTGACAACATCAGGTTTTCAAAATAAGGTGTCTATACAAAATGGAAATAAGATTAATTGGATTATATTCACAAAGTATAAAAACATATTACATGTGTCCATTAAAAGTAAATGGACACATGTAATTTACTGGACCCTCTCAGACCCACCTCCTATAGTCTCTCCAAATCCTATGGGACACACTGAATAAAAAGCACATTGACTAATTTATGCAATGGTAAAAAGGCAAATTAAATAGAAAAAATGTGAATGTACTTGTTCAGCATTCAGCAAATTTTCTCATTATATTCGGTTTCAGCTTCAGCCAAGAATTTTCATTTCAGTGCATCCCTAGTATATTTAAGAATGATTTATTAAGACAATGTAAATTTGTTTAAATTTGTTAACAAAAACGCTGAATTAAAACTCTGAATTAATGTACAGTATAAGCAAGTTTTGCAATGAAAGATATCTTTTGCTTTAAGTAGACTAAAAGCAGTGCAACAACAATTTCATGATAGCAAATTTATATCGAGGTAAATTTAAATCTGTGTTAGTTGATGTTTGTCATTCTGACATGTACTGAAACAAATGGATATTAGGCAAAACAAACTATGAAGCCAGTGGTAAAGTCATACATTTGCAATCTGCAGAAAGGAACATGAATTAACATCAGTAAAGGATCGGAAACTCCATGGTATGTACGTTTCAGACCAGTGTTACCACGTCTAATCTATTGCACTCAGTGACTGATGACAAGTCCGCACCCATCCTGAAAGGTGCATTTATTGTTTGGCGGAGTGAGTATGTTACACTCACACTCACCTGGACCATTCAGGTAAAGGGGCGACAAGCAGCTCAGGTACAGCCACGTCCTATTCTCCTGCAGCCAGCGCTGCCGATAACCAATCATATCAGGGGAACAGGCTGACTGTATCCTCCTTTCCTCTTTAGGGGGCAGGGCTAAATGAGTCTTGCTTACTAGGTTGGAAGATGACAGAGCACAAAGGTTTTGTGGGATTTAATAACATGCTGTTTTGCAGGAAGTGTTAGGCCGCCTATCACAGAATGACTTGTCTTATACTGAACTCTGTACACGGCAGCGCATCTTCTCTGTGCAGTTTTCAGATCAATGGAAAAACACTTCCTGGAAAACGAGTGACCAAATTGGGAGACATGCATCTAATGCTGGGATCAGACGACACAATATTTTTGTCTTTTGATATAGCCATTGTGTCAGATTAGGCGTGAGTCAAATTTTTGCTGTGGCATTGCAAGATAAGGCAGACAACACGTTGGACCACAACTTAATATAGTGTGCACTGTTTCCCCAACTTGCATGACGTACAGGTGATTGGCCTTCTTTTCCACCTCACAGCACCAACAGTGAATGTTTATGTATGCAAACACTGTTATATGAATAACAGTGAACCTGGAGCCATTCACATTTGCTTGGCAGTGAAGGCGGGCTCTGTCTTTTTCCTTCCATATCAATTCAAAGACAGTGTACAGAGGGTCATGTCACACCAACAGGTGTGTATTTCTGATAATGCTCTCGACTCCAGGGTGATAGTAAAAAGACATAATTCCTTACATTACCATGTTTACAGTTCACAGGAAAGTGATCTGAGCTTGATGAGGGCGATGTCAAGGAGCAAGATGTTGAAGTTGTTCTAAAATGCTAGTCTGGGATATTGTGAGGTCCCCGATGCTGCTTAGGCTTCGTCATCTTCTGCTATGACACTAAAAGGGATAAAACTAGATTGCAGGCCCTGACCCTCTTTCGTTGTGGACATTACCAGGCTGGTATTGTGTGGTCTGATCTCGGCATTGGTATAAAACATATACCCTGTGCCCTGTAACATCTCCCAGTGTGATATCCCTTGCTACTACTCCATTAAGGCTTGAACATTTGGGAGAATACTATCACCAGTGTAATTTCTAACCCTAACTGCACACTGCAAACATGTCAGTTTTACAGTTTGCCATTGAGCAGAGTGCAATGAATGAGACCCATGAAGTGAAAGTGCCCCAGGCCCTTTAACCGAGTGTTGACCTTACACCCTTGCGTTTTCCCACGTGCACCAAATTTATGACAGCTTCTTAAAATATGTTCCACCGTGGTGCATTCATCTTCATCTTTTGTCCTAAATTCACCATGTTTCACCCCACTACTTTTAATTAATGCTGCTCACTTTGCTTGGCTCCCACCAACCGTTGCTGGACTTTCTCTAGATGGTGGATATATTCTGTCAGGGATCGCTCCGGATCCTGAGACGTTCCTCCTGAAT